ACTGTGACTAACTCCACATTTACATATGCATGTGTTATGCTTTAAAACGCCAATTAAGGAAGGTCATTGGGCTGGTTGCAATGAGCGTCTCCCCTCTAAACACACACCACACACACACACACATACTTTCACACACGTCGTGGTCCGCTGAGTCCTGAAAGATCCCCCACCCCCACTGTTTAAGCCTTATTGGTATATTTAGGCATTCCTACTCATTGCTCAGTCCAATAGGTTCCAAATGTCTGAACACCATTTAGAGAAAATGGTGCATGTCTGCTCAAATGGAGAGAAGGGGGGAGGCTAAAGATGGAGAGATAAACGGGGAGTTAAAGGAAGATTAAGAGTAGGGGCTGTGGTGAAACGGAAAGAGAGAGGATGAGAGATAAAGAGAACCGCGGGGTACAAGCCACCATCAGAACCCGTCACCAGCAAAACACACTAGGGGTCTCTCCCTACACACACACTTACAAAAACACACTGGCATGCACATACACTATACTATACCTATATCCTTGCACAGATTGTAACAGCATGGAGGTAAGGAAACATGCTCTCATACATAAGCAGGCATTTACACACTTGTAATACAAACTGCAATACATAACTAAATCCATCCATGTACATATTGCCGGCAGGGAAGGAAGCAAAGACATGTACAGCATATAGCACCAGTGACTATACTCAAATTATTCATACTCACACATGGCTCAACAAACACACACACACAGACGCTGACTTACTGATACCTTAAAGCCGTGTTCCTGACACAAAAGTTAACCAAGGAATCCACCTGCACAGTAACTAGAGGCGAATATCCAGGGGACACCACACTGTGAAACACATTATTAACAGCTCCACTTCCCGCTGCAGGGAACTTTGGTACATACACACACACAATGACACAGGGGGGTGGCTGTCCTGACAATCATACAGGGATCCAGTCCGCAAGCATCACCATCCTCATTTCCATCCCTGTCTCAGTTGTCAATATTTTCCACAGTGGCTCAGAGAAAAGTCTAGACGCTCATTAAATAAGGAGATGGGCCGTTTCAATATTCTGTGGACTAGCCAGTGTCTTTGAAACATTTTGTGGTTCGAAAACTGGCATCTGGAAAATGTGCAGATAAGAGAATGATACCATACGGCACTTTTGTTTTAATACTGTAACTTTGTATTGTTTTTTGAAGCACCAAACCTGAAGATAAGCTTAGCCCTTTGATACCCCTACACTGTTTTATGTGATTCCTAGTGAAGTAAAGTGAATTGCATTTCCTATTGAAATGATTTTGTTGAACTTGTATTTCAATAATGCATTGTGAAATCTAAGTGACATGCAAGCTCTACTTAAAAAAGCATATGGAAATCTAGTATAATATCACAAAGCCACTTGTTGCAAATAGTTAACAGTCATGGTCAGGGACTATGTCCATGAAGTTAAAGTAGGCAATACCACCGATTTCAATTTGTCGTAATTTATTTCTAAATACGAAGACACAGAAAATAGAAAATTGAATATAAAAAAACACCAAGAGTGAGGACACTGGCAGATGCTGCCCCCACTTTTCAGATGAGGATACAAAAAAAACATGTTGTGACATTGTGCCGACTTCTGCGAGTTGTGCCTCTCCTCCCGCTGTTGCTCTCTGTTGGGCAAGAAAATAGAAAACAGATGGGCAAAGTGCATTTTAAGGTCAGGAAAACACACACATTTCACGGTGCCCCTCTGTCCTGTAGCTACACTGTTTATGGATGTATTGAAAATGTAAGCATATCTATTCAGTGTTTCCCACAGATCTGAAATATACTTGGGCGGGGTGGTGGCAGCGGGCGGGGGGGGGGTGCGCAAAAAAAAAAAGTTTTAATTTTGTATAATCATTTTGTATAATCATTTTGCGTAAAGATGGCACTCAAGGGCACACTAGTGGTGGTGTTCCTGGCGGGATTTGAACTCACAGCCTTCCGATCTTCAGCCCACCTCACTATCCATTAGACCAATCACTACCCTCTCAAATGGAAATATGTGTTTACATAAATGGTGACCACACTGTTTGAGACCCACTGAGAACTTAGACTAAGTTAACTATCTAAACCAGTGGTCCCCAAACTAAGGCCCGCCTCCACATTTGGCCCGGCCCCCTGAACAATACCAGAGACGCATTATGATTTTTTTTTTTTTTTTTTTTTTTCTTCTTTCAGTCTGGCCACGCGAATCCTAGACTAGCCCCTGTCAAAATGTTGTGACCTGCTCTATCGAAATCAGTCGCATTGACCCGAAGACACCTTTTGAGTTGTATACACTGATGGAAAGAGGATATTCCTAGCTTTATAATGATATCAGGATTGTTTTTGTACTTCAAATATTAAGCGAAATATGTCACATTATATAATGACTGTCACCGAGTCATCATTTTGAGAAAAAGGCCTTCAAAGTTGTCTCTTCTCTGGAATCCATCGATCTGATTGATTATTAGCGGAGCAAATGATCAAAATACTACCGAGGGAAGATATTTTCGTTTGGAGGGGAAGCTCGCGAGTGTGTGTGTATACGTGTGTGTGTCAGTGTGTGTGCTTGTGTAATTTTGCGTTTGTGTGTATTGTGTTTGTTTCCCGGGGAAAACACTCACGAGAAACACCGGCTGTTGTTATGCCTGCCGTTCTCCGCTTGTAATTATGCCGAAGCTTCAAAGTTGTATTTATCATCTGAATTTGCCGAAACAAGTTTAATATTCTGAAAGCCAAGACTTTGTTTAATTGAAATCAGATGAAAACAAACTGTAACGGACCCTGCAGTGTTATCTATGATTACTATACTCTTACATTCATAATTTCAGCGGAGTGAGGGGGGGGGGGGGGGGGGGGGGGGGGGGGGGGCGGGGCGGCGGCGGCGCTGCGGAAGAGCAGATTGCGAGTGAGAAATAAATAAATTGGAAATAAAAGTTTCATATTCTGAAAGCCAAGACTTTGTTTGTTTAAAATCAAACAAAACACCCGAAACCCGAAAAAATATATTTGTTTACGTAAATCCACGTTTATTTTTGAGAGATTCTGCTCTGACAACTAAGCTAAACTTTTACCTGTTAAGATTGTGCACGGCACATCAGAAAGTTACAGTAATTTTCAATGGACTTTTTTTCTGTGAAGAACCCAGAGAGGGTTATTTGGTTATTATTTATTTCATAAATAGTGTTATTTATTTCATTAATAGTGTTATTATTTATTTCCTGACTTTTTTTCTGTGAAGATCCCGGAAAGGGTTATTAATATTTGGTTATGTGTGGCTTTCTAGAAAACAATAAATGTTTACGTTTAGACACCCATGCGATCGTCACACTTTTTTTGTTACAAACTGACCCGGCCCCCATCAGAGAAGGGAAAAGTTATGTGGCCCTCACAGGAAAAAGTTTGGGGACCCCTGATCTAAACACTCAGAGAGTCCTTTACCTCACCTGAGCTGAGGTTATCCCGAGCTTGAATGACACACAGAGACCAATCAAGGGCTTTGATTTATGATCTCTATGACAGTGGCCATGTCGGCAGGCCACATCATGTAGACAGCCAGTCACCCTGTGTGAGGCAGGCCACTTAACGAGGCGAGATCAGAGCAAGGGAGCGAGGGATCATTGTCCACAAGTTAATCGATCGCAGATGGCGTCGTGGTCACGGACGAATAAAAAAAAATATATACAAAAAAAACGTATAAAAAAAAAAAAAAAAATGGGTCGCGAAATATACTTGGGCGGCCGTTAATATACCTGGGCGGCCCGCCCAAGTATAGTCTATGTGTGGGAAACCCTGCTATTATTTGAGTCTTCATTTTCTTTTTGTTGGTAACAGTGTGTCCCAACAGAATACACGTTCATCTTTTAACGAGCAATTTCATGTCAGTGTAAATTAGCCACAGCTACATCAAGCATATGAGGGCGACTTGACCTCAATACCTGCTTCTCCGCTAAATAGAGCCAGAAAAGGACCCTATCTACCTGACACTACTAATATCCAATAAGCCCACGCAAATGGCCACAAAATAGATGCTAATAACTAGCTATCACAGGGCCCAGGAGGCTGCTGGCAACGCTCGACACACCAACAATGCAATCATTTAACTGTGGTCAGCGAGGTTGCTGCTTATCTGAGAATGCACAGAGGAAGCAAAGGCAAAACATTCTCTCACACACACACACACACACACACACACACACACACACACACACACACACACACACACACACACACACACACACACACACACACACACACACACACACACACACACACACACACACGCACACACACACACACACACACACACACACACACACATACAGCACAGTCTGTCTTACTCTGTCTCTCCTCACATACACATGCAGTCCAATTATAGAGAGAGGAAGAGGCCTGGGCCCTGCGCTCCCAGTGACCTTGTTCCAGGACAGATTGATGAGGCGCTGTATCACCCCAGCAGATCAAATAACTCCTTTTGTGGCCCTCATTACCAGGACTAGGGGAGATCTGCAAGTGCTCGGCTTAGCCAGTGTAGCATGCTATCACACAGTGCTGTTCCCCAAGTAGCTGTTTTTATTCAATATATAAGATCAGAGGTTTTTGATCCTTTTTAAACAAATAATCCAAGTGCTGCCATCTGGCGAAAAAGGTTGCAGTTCAGTTGTGAAGGGTACAGAATATAATTTGATAAGTTGTTTTTTAGATGATTCTTGAATGGCAATTTGGCAGTTGAAGGGGGGGGCATGGCATCACTTGGTTTTTCTTCATTTACTGGCAGAGACCAGAGTGACGGAGTTTCATGTGTCTGGTTGGTTTTAACCATATACAGTCTATGGTTTTAACAAATTGGTTTCTGATTTTCATAAAAAAAGAGGACTGCTACAAATGTTCTGTAGTCCCTCTTAATCTCTCCGTTCCTTATACTGCTAATTCCATCAAAATGAATGCAATGTTATTTAATGCAACTTCCCTGACTTCCCTCTCTCCTCTGGATTCCACAGTTCCTCCCCAGTTTCTCAAGCGGCCAGACAACGTTTACGCCTACGAGTCCATGGACATCGTCTTTGACTGTGAGGTTTCAGGCTCCCCCGCTCCCACTGTCAAATGGGTCAAGAATGGAGATGCTGTCATCCCCAGCGACTACTTCAAAATAATTGTAAGTACATTTGGCACTAGAGATGCAGCTTTCTCCCTTTCCTGCAGGGTTAGCACGATTTAGCATCATCACAGGGTTATGAGGAAGATTTAAAAATGCTAGTTGTAACTAACCAACTTTAATCTTCTTATCTTTTTCTCTATTTCTTCTCTTCCTGTTCTGCAGAAGGAGCACAACCTGCAGGTCCTGGGTCTGGTGAAGTCAGATGAGGGTTTCTATCAGTGCCTTGCGGAAAACGATGCAGGAAACATCCAGTCCAGCGCTCAGCTCATCATCTTGGATCACGGTACGCCACACACTCACTAGTTGGCATATCATTTAATCAGTCAACAAAAGAAAATTCATTTCTAATTGAAAAAAAATTACAAAACACACAATTAACAAGCTCATACTTACCACAATGATGTCGCTCATTATTTCTTAGCTTTTGATAACCTCACCTCCTATGAGTCATTGTTATGGGAGCTGGTGTTGTTTAATGCTAACAAAGTGAGCATTGTGTTACGGCCCGTCCACACTACAGCGTCGACAGCTTCAATCTGCCCATTCTCTTTGAATGGGGTGACGTCACGTTGCCGCTTTTTTTCGCCGAACTGAATTGTGGGTAGCATAGCGGTCCGTCTCCGCCGGAGACGCCGGAGTAGCCAGCGCCAGCCAATCAAATCCCGTTTCGGAAAATCTGACAGCTCAAGCCGTAGCCAATCAAACTGCGTCTAAGCTGGGAGAGATATCCCGCCGTTCATTTCTATATTTCAAAAAAAGATGGAGGAGAAACTAATTATCGCCGTAGCAAATCACCCGGTTTTGTATGACCAGACCCTCTTCACCTACCGGGATACAAACCGGAGGAACCAGGCATGGAGGGAGGTGGCAGAGACAGTGGGTGAAACTGGTAGGTTTTTGCCTGTTTGGGGAGTTTATATATATATTGCTCCCATAAAATCCTCGGGGGTTTTTGCTTTCTATGTCGGGGGCGGGAGATTCATGTGATTGGTTGTTGGTCGCGTTGCTTGAATAACATCCCCAAGCTTCAGACACGCCCAGCTCCAAGCTTTTTTTGAAGCTGTAGTGTGGACGCTCCGTTAGTCTTGTTAAATTGCCAAGATTCTAGATACATCTATGTCAGCAATAATACTCTTTCAACACAGGCTTGTAGAGTTGCTCTTCTGTACAGTTTGCCTTATTTATAAACACCTAGCTGGAGGCTAGAGGCAGTGCACATCTGTGAAGGTGTGAGAGTGTGTAGTGAACAGTGAAATGAACCACTGGGACCTTGTTAAGCCAGAGGTGACTTACAGGGAACCAAATTATATCTGGGGCAAACGTTCTAGTCCATTCCACATCTAGTGCTACAGAAATGTTGTGAGTAAGGCTTTAGGAAGCCTCACACAACGTGCATGCTTTGATGCAACATTGGTCGAGCTGTGTCCAAACATGAACTAGTGCTAAGTGAGAGTGCCTGGATAGCTGCAGCATTTTCTCTCTTACTGTACTTTTCCCTTCAAAGCCAAAATAACAGGTTGAACGCTAATTCCCAGAGTGGAGCTGCTGAGTGCAGACTGAGAACAACACAAGCAGACACCAAGGACAGTGGCTAGAGGTGCCGAAATAATAGCAAATGTTTGAAAATAAATGTAACATCCTCATTTATGAGGTAATTTTCTCTCATTGCGGCTGATCATTGGGGAAAATGAACTTAAATTAGAGATCATTTGCACAGTCATAATGATCACAGTCCAACCCACAGGGCTAGGGAAAACCTCTCTACACATACAAGGAAAGCAACAAGAAATGTAAGATGATGACTTAGACACATTTTCACTAAAAAGCATAATCTCATAAAACAAGTGTAAAAATAATAACACGGCGGGGGAATAAAGGAAAAACATCCCGATGCAGCACATTTTTCTTCATAAACACAATTTAACTGTTGACTCAGACTCTCCCATTTTGTTGAGGAAGACAAAATGTGATCAAGCGTGAACTCCGCCTCACTTGAAGCAGGTGGCTCATGGATTAGCAGAGCAGTGTCCAACCGGTGGCCCCCCAGCTGTGTCTCCCCCTCTGATTGGAGGACAGTAAGTCAGTAATAATGATGACCTGCAGCTCATTGTGTGTTTGTGTTTGACACCATTGATAAGGTTCTGCCACTTTACATGGCCCTGAGTCTTTTCCTTTTTTTTCTTTTTCTTTGACCTGAAGATAAATGGGAGGAATTGCTGCGGCAGCTGGCCGTGTACACGGGTTCTGCCCAGAGTGGGGCTTTGGAAAAATGAATCCCTGTTTAATACTTAAATATCACAGGGAACCATTTCTGAGTGTACCTCTTTCTTTGTCACAGTAGCACTAATAGAAACACATTTAGCAGCAGAAGGTTTTCCAATCTCCTGTTTATTCATCAGTTTATTATCTAGTCATCATCTGCGTCTCGGATGATAGATCCACAAAATAACAGAAGTCGCAGAGCTGCTGTTTATTCTTCCTGTAAATTATTGACGTTTTGAGCTTGTACAGACACATCCACTGCTGCACTCTCCACAAATGCAAGCGCCACTGTGTCAAAGTAATTTCCTCTCTCAGAGGTGCAACGGTGAATCAATGAGAACACGTTTGAAGTCTTCTTGTTTTCTACAGCTCTGTGTGTTTTGTGGATATGCCTTTGTGATGTGAGGTTGAAATGAATCTCTTTAAGATCTAGCAGAGTTGTGTCTCTCTCCTTAGAGTCGCTCCTCTGTATTCTTCTCTATTTCTTCTTTGTACATATCCAATTCTACAGCCATCTGCCACCTTTCTCCACACTTCCTCTCACTTTATCTCTCCTTGTCTCTCACAGCCACCTGCTCTCTGTGATAGTCTGGGCTTTGTGTTTATTGGGCCATCTTGAATATTCCCCCTATATGGTTCCCCTCCTCACAGCTGGACATCTTTGTCCACTTCTTAACCCACGAACATACTGCTCCTGACCTCTGCTGCCCCTGTGTGTTACACCTCAGGTATCCCGCTCACACCTGCCAGACTCAAATCCTCCTGAAGCATGGCCAGAAATCACCCCGTCTGTCTGCCGGCTGCCTTGCAGTCGGGGGGTTGATAAGCCAGGGACTTGCCACAGGGATAAAGTTGTCTTCACCCAACAGGGAAATCAATGGGGGTGAACTGCATCTAAACACCCAGCGGCTGCATGTTGGCTAATATTCATTAGTGGGCCTAATCTTTGCATCTTGACACTGCCAGCTGCAGTTAAATGTGGCTCCGCTGATGATTCCCACTTGTGGATGTTTGGAATGGAAAAAGGTCAGCTGTCGGCATGTGTACACTTTCTTCAGTTATTTATAGTGATACAGTATTTGCTTTGTATCAATAACTGTGGCTTTGGACTCCAGTACTGTAGATGCCAATTTCATATTCCATTGTCAGAAAAGAAAAGAAAGCTTTATTTGAATTTTTCTAAAGCAATCTTAAAATCTTAAATAAACAGATTTTTGGAGCGAGTGGAGGTCAGGAATAGGAATACAGATTGCAGCCGAGAACAATTTCCCTGGACATTCCACAGCCATGTGCTATAAGGGTCAACTAGTTGCAACCAGATGTGGGTAAATAGGAGCACAATTCCGAAAGTGGACATAATTATGCAGGACAAGAAAGCGCCTCCTAATGGGAAACTGCCACATACGGACGCCATATTTGAGATGTGCTGGAAGTTTGCGTAGTTATTCTAGTTTCTGTTCAGGCTTTGCCCAAGACAAAGAACACCATGAATCAATGTGGTATGACTTTCCACACTGACAAACGCTTAATCATTTCTCAAATCTGATTTTTTATATATATATAGACATTTTGATTTTATCTTAGTAATTGTACCACATCAAACCCATATAAGCAGGAGTTGGAATCAATAAAGACAATCAGGAAATGTTCTCACTAATAACTTTTATTGTAAAATACATTGTGTACATTGTGTACACAATGTACAATACAATGGTTTTATCCCAGCACATTGGCCCTTGATTTCTTAACTAAACTATTAATACATCCACTAATGGCTATCATGATGATTCCTAGCTGGCAGTTTAATTTGCTGTCAACATGTAGACCTTATTGTCTAAAAGATCATGAGGAAGGTTAGTCAGCTGCAGAGGATATGCTATTTAAGGGATTATCGTCATGTGTCATCTGCAGGATAGACAGCGTGCATCAACAATTTGCAGCCTTTTCCAGGCACATGATTATGTGAAGCGTTTATGCGTGATACGGTAGTAGGCGGCAATTACAGCTTGGAGAGGAAATGGGTCACGCTTTAAAACTTTGAAGTTGAGCACGCCTAGACAAAGCACTTGTTTATATGATTGTCATCTTTTCACATGCAGTACAAAGAGTAAGGCTGTGTTTGAAGTTTGATAAGACGGCAAACTCAAATGTATGTCAAATATTTGCAGTGAGGTTTCTTTCTCTGTGTAGTTCTTTAAGATCCAGAGCTAAGGCACATATTTACTTTTAGGATAGTTGGCGTTATTGATTGTGGAGATCTGCATTTAGCATTTACATTTGAGGCTTTTCATTCAGAAGCAGAAAGCAACTGCTTGTTTTTCAGCATTATGTTTTTTTCATTTTGAACAATAACAAACCCAAGGCTGCACACGAACCTGGGAACTCCATACCCTACATACCCACTCTACAACATCGGCTTGTTTAAAATTCAAGCACCTACAGTGAAAGCTTAATATGACAAATGTAGATCTGCATTTAACATTGGCAAACAAAAGAGAAGTGGATGCACTCACTTTTCACGTTGCCCTTAAGTGCATGTTTTTTGCTTTTTTATGTTTGCATAAATGCAAGAGATGCACTGCCATTTGCATCTGAATACTTACTTCTTCTCCTTTCATACACTGTGCTGGCTTTAATATGGAAATCCTCCTTTGTCTGAGTTTGTCCCTCCATCTCTTCTCTCTTCTCCTCTTCGTTCCCACAGCACACATGAATAATGTTTTGACATTTGCCTCCTAGAGCCCAAGCCAAATACTTAACTGGAGAGCCTGAAAGCTTGTTTGGATGTACAAGCTCTGCACTCTCATGCTGCTTTAGCCACCACTGTGGAGAGTCAATTTCATTGAGATGAATGAGAGGGAGGCATTCTACTCAGTACTTAGCCAACTTCGGGGTAAAAGATAACACAATTCAAATCAACATCATTGGATGCTTAATGCTGTGCAATGCTACTACATCATTTCAGCTTCTTTATTCCATAGGCTTGTATCTTCAGCTTTAATTCAAGTGGAGATGACAGTA